GGCACGGATCGAATGCCGATCGCTGATCTGCGGGGTCAGCACAGAACCACAACAGCAACTGAATGACATGCCTGGGGGGGCCTTCGGGGTAGAACCCGCCGACTTTGACATGAACATTTTTGCTGTGGTCGTGGTCGATCAGGCCGTCTGGGACGTCCATATCTACCACAACCAAATGCCATGCTGGCTGCGGTTTTCTGACGTCTTTTGGCATGCGCAAGGCTCCCCAGGGTGTCCTCGATGTTTGGCGGCGAAGTCAATGGAGAGGGGGTCTTAAGCCTTCCCCAAGGACACACAGCAAAAACGCTCAGAAGGCCAGAGCACGTCTGAGAAACCCCATCCACCTTCTGAGAATGCCTTTATCTTGGCTTTTGGATCATAACTCGGGCCTCCGGCGGCCGTTCGACACGATCCAGGCACCCCCATAACGCCCTCGGCGAGGCGCAGCCGCTGGCAAGCATCCCGAGGCTGCAAAAATGCCGAGAACAGACAAAACCACCAGAGAACTTCGAACCTCGTGCCGCTCGCTGCACCTATCACGCCTGTCCATCTTTCTCCGTCATTTTTCGAGCTGGATCGATCTGTGAGGGTCCCGGGGCCCGGACGAAGAGCGAAAACGCCCGCGCCCCGAACACATCGAGACGCCAAGACCTCAGGGCCTTGCTCACCGACCATCCCAGCATTCCTACAGGCCTACCACGGAATGCTTTTTTAGAATCCAATAATGCTCCAAGAACGCAAAACAATGGATCTTAGAACACAAGCCCGATGCGTTCAAGCAAGACTGCCTGGGACAGAAATGCTCGAAGAACGCCTCGCGGAGGCCACAAGCGGTTCTCAGAACAGTCCCTGGTGGGCCTGCGGGCAAGCCAGGACGCCTCGCCGCTGCTCGCGAGACGTGGCCGTGGCCGCTTGCGGCCCCTGCGCGATCCAGCTTTCGCCCATGCCAAGACCTCAGGGCCTTGCTCACCGACCGCCCCAGCATCCCTGCAGGCCCCCCACAGAACGTTTTGGAATCCGAACGGATGCTCCGAGAACGCAAACAATGGATCTTCGCACACCCAGTTTCCGCGAGACGCGGCCCCTGCGCGATCCAGCTTCCGCCCACGACCCGCGGCGCGCGCCTCGCCCTCCGAGCGCACGGCGGCGTGGGCAGGCTCGCCGGCGGGGGGCGCACCCCCGGCCCGCGCGTCCTCTCCCCCGGGAGCGCCCGCGGCCGCCTCCTCGCCGCCCGCGGCCGCGGCCTCCTCGCCTGGGGAACGACGACGACGACGACGACGTCGACGACGACGACGACGACTGAGAGAACGACGACGACGTCGACGCCGACGCCGACGAAGAGAGGGACGACGACAACAAGAGCACCGCCCCGCAGTGCCACAACACACTTGAACGCAGATGAGGGGGGGCCCGAGGGAGGCACAAACAAATCGACACAAATTCCAGGCGGCCCCAAAGGAGGCCCATAATGAGGCTCCGAAAGGCCTCCAGACCGGGCCCCTAGAGGCCGCAGGACTGCCTCCAAGAAGCATCCCAGAGGCTTCCCAAGAGGCCCCTGCTAGACTCCATGAAGCGTTTGACGTCTAAGCCAGTCGAGGTGGCGGGATGGGCCGAAGACCACTACACTGCCAACAAAACGTTCAGTTCAACCAGGCTCACATGACTGGCGAACCGTTGACGCCTTACCACTTCTGGGGATCGGAAGAATGCAGTACGCCGTGTTAGCCAATCGGGGTCCAGGGTACCGAATACGTTCCCATACTTCATGTCTTTCCATGTCCCACCCATTTCCTCTATGGAATGAAGAAACAGCGTTGTCTGTATCTTGGCAATGTTTCCCTCCTGGCGCGAGGTTAGGAGACAACTCCTGGGAGATCATCTTCAGAACGATTACTCAGCCAGACCAGGCTGGGTGAAGCACAAGATTGATATGAGCGGCGACGAAAAAAGGGCATACGAACGTCTCACGCGAGCCGACAGCGCGGCACGCTGCATTGGAAACGAGGGCGCTCACGCGCGACCATTCGCGGTCAAGTTGTGCACCAATATTGGCGCATGGTGCGCAGGTGCGCGAACGAGGCGGGGGCCGCGGGCTGCAGCGAAAAAAGAATAATAAGAAGACGTGGACACATTATGCAGGTCTGTGTGTATATCTATATATATATACACGACTGTATTGGCGCTTCGCGCCATGCACTTTGGTCCTTAAGGTTCGGCATGCTGGCAGGAAATGAATAAGGTAATACGGAGCATTGAACGATAACTCGCTGATGGCTGTTCTGGCCCCGTTCGTTGTAATGATGTTATTCGGTATCCTTCCCCTCTGCTGCCTCTTCCTCTTCCTCCTTCTCGCCTCGCCCTACGAATTCGCCCTCATCCTCAGCTCGTTCTGCGGAGACTCATCATATGAGAGCCTCTTGTAAGCCTCACGGAGGTTTTTAGGGGCTTGTTGGGGCCTCTTGAAAGCCTCCCCGGTTCCTTCTGGGGGCCTCTGTGGGCTTCCCCAGGTCACCCTGCCTCCAACCGCGGTCTCCCTGAACGGCCCGGGCACGATTTGGGATGATTCAGGAGGCGTGTTGGGGCCATCTTGGGCCGTCATAGGGGCTCTCTTCGGGCCATCTTTGGGCCCTGTTGGGCCGTCTTGGGGCTCCTCTTGGACTGCATGGAAGCTCTCTTGGTGAAGTTTGGGGCGACTTTCTGGCCTCCTGGGCGGTCAAGGACGCCCAGAAGACCGAAGAACTGAGCATTGCCCAAATCATGCCAAACCATCGCATAACTATTTGATTTCCATGTGGAATGCCTCTTGGAGATAATTTTTCGGTTGTCCTCGGGCGTCTGGTGGGTGTCTGGGGCCTCTGTGGGCTCTCGCGGGGCTGGTCGGTCGCCCTCCTGACCGATTTGGGCCCGTTGCCTAGGCCCACCAAATGGCTTCAGGAGTCCTGGAGGAAAGCACAGGGGACCGTCTGAAAGGGCGTCCAGGGTGCCCCAGGGGCCAAGTATCCGGAGAGGCCCCGTTCACGGGGGGAATCGCAAGATCCAAAAAGAGTAGAAACGAATGAAAACATATGAATACATAAAATTATGTATATAGATGTATATCTGTATATATATATATATACATACATATTATATATATGTATATCATGGCGCTGGCCTAGATATCCCCCCCTGCAGTCATCACCCCAGTCTAGGCGGCCCCCGAACCGCCTGGGGAGGCAGACAGACAGACAGATCCCGCACGGCTACAGAGCCTGGCCTGCGAAGGACGCGGGAAGCAGACTGCATGCAGGACTCGCTACTAGTACCAGAGAGTGAACATCTAGAGGCCTCCCAGATAAGGTTGGTGTTGATAGAGTCAGAGAACCTCGCCGCATCGCCGCTACATCGGCGATGCATCGTCGATGCATCGGGGACGGCGTCCGTGCGGAGACGATCGGGCACCACGTCGAGCCGCATCGCTGCTGCATCGCCCGTGCGGCGCGCTCCTACGACCCCCATCTGCTCCGACCACATCCAGGAGCCTAGAACCTCTGGGCCTCCGACGAGGCGCTGCCCGAAACCTGCCAGGTCTCCGAACATGGGAGACGACAAGGTCGGGCTTCGGCCGACGAGCCAGGACGAGAATAAATTCGGGAAAAGGTGTATCGAGAATCTTGTGACATCCGACGGCTCTCGAAGATACGTCAAGCTTCGCAGCCTTCTCTAGAGGAAAACGGCATTGAAGAGAAATGTTGGCGCTCCGCGCGGATATCTTGGATCTGCCCTGGACCAACTGGACGCCTATAGGCACGCCGGGACGCTTCGCCACTGCTTCAATAAAAACGCCGAAATCTTGGACATCTCGTGGCCGAGCCCCCACCCAGCTCTCGACATCACGACTTTCCCAGGACGTGGACCCACACCGGTCTGGACGCCCAGTCCGGCCCCAGGGACTGGGTGCTCCGTTCCCTGGGCCGGCTTCTCACCCCGAGTAGGTTTGACGGCCCCGAGGCCGAAAATTGGCGGCGAGCGAGGGGTGAAGTGAGAAGGAGAAGGCCTTCTGAGAAGGCTCGCAAGTCCCCCAGCTTTCAAAGAAGTTGTCTAAGCTTTTCCCGAAGACAACAAACTTCTCAGAAGGCGCGAAGGCTTCCGAGACGTGCTGCCGACGTCTGAGAAGGCCTCCTCCTTCTCCTTGCCCCTCCTCGCTCGCCGTCGCGAAAGCGAGGCAGACAAGCCTCCAGCATTCTTTGGGGGGGGGGCTCACGACCTGAGGGGGTCTGGGCCCCGGTGGTGGTGGCGTCGCTGTTCCATCCCCCCACGTCTGGTTAGGAGGCCACTGCTTGAAGGTTTTCGTCGGAAAGATGAAGGAGGAGTAAGCCCCATTTGGGAGCTGTTACGCCGGAGTCGGCCTCGGATTAAGCAGGATTAAGCCGGAGTGAACGGGATGAAGCGGAATTTGGCCAGATTAAGCGGGATTGAGCTGGATTGAGCCGGACTTCGGACCGGGGCAAAACCAGAATTTGACCTCCCAGGAGTTGCCTCCGAAGTGGCGGTGGCGTTGCTGCTCCATCCCCCCACGTCTGGGCCCCGCCGCCTGCGTCGGAGCCCTCGGTGTCCTCGGCCTCCAGCTGCTCCGCGGGCGGCGGCGCCGCCGCCTGCGGCCGCGGCCTCGCCGCGGCCTCCGCCCGGCGGCCCGCCAGCGCCAGCTTCCAGGAGTGCCTCAGCCTCCAGGGGCCCGCCAGACGCGGCCGGCGTCGCTTCGGAGGCAACTCTTGGTGGGCCTTCGTCAGAATGATTCGAGGCTCTTGCCGTCACTCGGACGTCCATTTCCCGTGCATTTTTCTGTTTCGTGCGTGTTTTGTTTGCTCGATGGTCCAGGGTGGTCCTCGATGGTTCTCGCCGAGAAAAAATACACACGTCAGAGTGATGCCGAGGGCTAGTGCGCCGAGTGATTGGGGGGAACGGAAGGGGGGGGGGTAGCAAAGAGTAGGGTAGAGAGTGAGCTCACGTGGCTGATTTTCCGAGCGCCTCCCAGCGCCGGGAGGCGCCCATGTCATGTATCGAGGAATGGGCCCGGCGGCGGGACCGAAACCAGCTGCGTGCAGTAGATTTCGTAACACCCCCTTTCCCTATCCCCCCCTTTCGTTCGGCCCGAATGAAATGGGCCACTCAGCCGGATCAGGCAAGATTAAGCCCGGGATTCCGCCAGATCGAGCGAGATTAAGCCGCATGAAGCAGAATTGCACCTGATTGTAAGCGGGCTTCAGCCAGAATCGGCAGGTTGTCGCCCAGGGATGAATTGAGAATGTGAATTGAACCTCCAAGGAGTTGCATCCTAACAGATAGGGTCGGAGGATCGCGCGGCATCAGCGATGCATCGTCGATGCATCAGCGATGCAGTGGCGACGACGGCGATGCATCGGCGCCGTCGGCGTCAAGAAGGTCGGGCTCCACGTCGGGCCGCATTGCCGATGCATTGGCAATGCAGCGCGATCCTCCGACATCATCAACTCGGACCCCATTTGGTAGGCCCAGGGCCTCTTCGCCAACTCCCGGACGTCCTGGTCCTCGCGGGCGGAAGACATGCCCCCGAGAATCGGGCGTCGCAAATTCAATCGCACCAAGCGTTTCTTTCGCCCAGTTTCGGACCCCAGAGAGATCACAGGTCGATCTGGGTCAAAAATGCAATGGACGAAAAATTGTCTCGGGCTCCCGTCGTGAGTTTTCGCGGTGCTGCCTTTTTTCCGTGACTGCGGATCCCAAGGATACCCATATCCACGACCACGCGGATGCGGGGCGCTTCCATCGCAGATGCCCCGCGCAGGACGCGCGAACCCGTGCGACCGCGTGTGCTACGGGACTGGCGCCCCAAGATGATTGGCCTGTTTTCCACCACCACCACCACCACCACCATAAGTTGGAGGGAGGAAGGAGGTGGAGGATGAGGAGGAGGAAGAAGAACAAGAGGGGGAAGAGGACCCCCTCCCCCCTCCAACTTATGGTGGTGATGATGGTGGCAGTGGAAAACAGGCCCATCACAAGAGTCCAAACCGCGAGTGTGGGGATACGGATGCCGCTCGCCGCTGGTGACTGGTCCGTCTGCTCCCCCTCGATCAGGCGCTTCGTGACAGTGTGGACGGCGGTGGCCTCTGGGGGGACCGAGAATGCCTACTCCCTGGACCTCTCCTGGGATGCGTTTTGACTCAGACTTTGAAACGAATCCAGCGCTGGCGACGAAGGCCTCCCCGGAAGCCCAGGAAGGCGGACATGAGGGAAGGGCGGCTGCATCCGCCCAAGACCCCGCTTCATCCTGAACCGCTCTCTGACATTCCTGGGGTCAGTGGGGAGCCGCGACGGCGAGAAACCCAAGAAACCGTATCTCTCCAGGACCTATTCCCAGACATACGAGATCAGGATTCTTTCCATCTGGGATACTGGGCAGTCCCGACGCATTCCCCGTGGGGCCGGTCTTTCATCGCGAGTCCTCTTGGTGACGGTCGTGGGCATCGGCAAGGGCCCGCGGACGTGAGATTCGACTAAGCGGGACAAAAATGCAACATCGCAGAAAAACGCGCCCAGAGCCCTAGACACCATCTTCCTGCATAATTGCTCGAGCCGGATCGAAACAGGTGAGACGCTAGGATCTCTCAGAAGCCAGGCGAAGGCTGACAAACCCGTGGCTGCTAAAACGGAGCTCCGGGAAATTGTCTGTTCCTTCCGGGAAACAGCCCACCTCTATTGAGCGAGCTGAATTATATTCCGGGGATTCGTTTTCTTCCGGGAAGACCGTTGTAGCAACCACGGATTTGCCAGCCTTCTCCCAGCTACCGGATCTCAGGGCCCCGGCCTGGATGTTTGCTCGCGCCGCGGGGAGGCCCGCGTTTGAGTATCGTTTAACCGATCCCCATCCCCAGCGGCGTGGCCTGGGCCCAACTGGCCGATTTACCGCCCTAGATGAGGATGTATGTCGTTCTCGTCAGGAGTCGAGGGGTCTATCCCCAACTGGGTTGGCAATTTGGTGGGGGTCTTGAAGGGGATTGGGGATGGGGATGGGGATCGGTTAAACGATACCGAGCGTTGCTCCCTCGAGGCCTCCAGGAGCTCGTTGGTCACGCTCACCAGCCGCAGGTCGTGCAGCGCCGCGAGCAACCTCTCCCGGCCGCTGCCCGGGTCGGCGAGCACCCGCGCCTGCAGCAGAAGAGGGGGGGAATCCTTGCGACCCAAAAGGGGGTCCAGCTGAAAGGGGGTGGTGCAATAGATTCGGGGCAATTGTATTCTAAATGTACTGCGCAAAAGAATTGTACTGCATTGTATTGCAACTAGTGTATTGCACGCGAGAAGCCCAGCAATACATCGGCGCACTGGAACGTAGTGCACACCCCAAATCTATTGCAAGCCCACAAATCTATTGCAACAAATCTATTGCACAACCACGGTGTCGCTGAACCCCTGTTGGGCCCACCAGGGGGGAGAATCGAGCTCGAATCGGCGACACCTCCCCGACGGACCGGCGATATAGCCAACCCGCATCATGAGAATGCGCGGTTTTGCCCGAACAAGGAAAATGTCCCATCCTAACTACGCGGGCGGACTGCAGGCCCCCGATGGCGCATCCCTGAGAGCCTGGCGCCTCCTTCTTGTGTCGAGCCGGGCGTTTTCGCCGCCGTGCGGGCCCTGCAGGGCCCGCACGGATCGATCCGGCTCGAAAAATGATGCAGAAAGATCGAGTCTGGGGCTCCGGGCGTGATCTGCGACGATGTTGCAATCTTTGTCGCGACGTCGGATCCCGGTGTCGAATCGGGGCCCAAATCTGGCGGGCGCAAGCCTGGCAAATGACGGCCGCGGCGCCCTCTCGAGAACCACGATCGACGTGTCAGGGTGGGGGTTCTATCCACCCTTAGGTCGGGCAGACCCCCATACGGAAAACAAATGCTCCGAACATCCTTCTTCTTGTTATTCTTGAACCTTCCTCCGGTAGAGGGACAGGCCCGACTTCATCGTCGCCCCTGGGCGCCAGGTCCCGCACCCGCCCGTCCACCGACACGCCCGCGGAGCCCGCGGGCAGCGGGGCCGCCACGCCGCCCGCGAGGGGCGCGCCGAGGGCCGGCTGCGGCGGCGCGGCCGCCGCAGCGGCCTCGCAGAGCAGCTCCTCCTCCTCCTCCCCCCCCTCCTCCCCCTCTCCCTCCTCCTGCTCCTGCTGCTGCTGCTCCTCCTCCTCCTCCTCCTCTTCCTCCTCCTCCTCCTCCTCCTCCTCTTCCTCCTCCTCCTCCTCCTCCTCCTCCTCCTCCTCCTCCCCCTCCTCCTCCTCCCCAGGCAGCCGGCACTCGCCCAGCCGCAGGGAGCGACAGAGGCCGATCCAGCTCGTACAGATGTGGCTGCTCCCGTCGCACTCAAGGACCACATCCCAGGAAGAATTCGTCGAGTACCCAGAAAAGTAGCGAAACAGTGTCGAGCGAGTGTCGCCTCCGGGGGCCCGACACGCGAAGACAAACCAGTTCCGGTACCTTCTTGGTGCTCGAAATTCTTGCTGGTGATCAAGGCTAAAGTAGTTTGGAGCACCATAACTAAAAAGATGCGGAAAGGGGTCTATACCCCTGGTTGCGTTTGGTTTCCGATGTCGCACGCTTGTTCGCAACGTCGGCCGATGTCGGGGAATACCCTCGGGGGTGTTTTTTCAAGACATCGCTGTGCAAGGCGCGGATGTGCCAATAGTCCACCGCCTGGGGAACCGACGTCATGGGCCCCCAGGAGTGGTGGATATGGACATGTCTGGGCCCCAGGAGACCCAAGCATATCTATATCCACCACCTGCCGAGGTCCCCGAACATCGATCCTCCAGGCGGTGGTCCTGGATAAATCCCCGCCTCGGACTCGTTGCTTCTTAGAGGCTTCCTCGCATCGGGGTGTCCAACCGTTTGTGTTTACGCAGATGTTCCTCCCGCAGTGCTTGCGGATGCATACTTATGCCACTAATGAAATTAATTGGGTCCGCCGAGATTTCGCCGCGTCGCCGCCCGTGGCCGCCTCGTTGGCGCCCACTTGGGGGGTCCGCCGAGGTTCCGCCGCGTCGCCGCCCGTGACCGCCTCCTGGCCGCCTCATTGGCGCCCGCTTCGGGATGTCCCCCGAGGTTCCGCCGCGTCGCCGCCCGTGGCCGCCTCGTCGGCGCCCACGTGGGGGGTCCGCCGAGGTTCCGTCGCGTCGCCGCCCCCGCAGCCGCCTCGTGGCTGCCGCCACGCTGCCGTCGCCCGCGTGGGTCGGCCGAGGCTTCGCCGTGCTCCTGCCCGGTGACGCCTCGCTGCTGCCTCACCACGTGGCTTTCGCCACACAGGTTGCACCACGTAGCCGTCATCGCAGTGCTGGCATCACATAACCTGCGCCACGTGGCTTGCACCACACACAGTTTGCACCCCATAGCTTACAAAACATGGCTTCCAACGCAAAGGCTGAATGTTCGGGAGCCACGCTAGCAGCAATGTTTCAATTATACATGCTCCTGGGGCGCAGGATGGTCCAGGCCAGGGATGGTAGTATGCTGCCGCCCTCTGCGGGCCTTGGTGCTGGGGGCTGTGCTGACGCGGACCCCGTTGACCACGCGGGCGCCATGCTTCCGCAGCACCGTCAGGGGACTCCAAGGCGGAGAGCCGAACATGAAGCGGTGCCCGTGGAAGATCGCGACGGCCGCCTGGGCCGCCTGATCGGTCTCGAACCCCAGGACGCACGCGCGGCCGCTCGTCGGCATGTCGATGTAGCAGATTGTGCCAGCCTCCTTGAAGAGCTCAAGCACGACATTCTTCAGGCTCTCGAAGTTCTGCGGGACAGGGGGCGAGAAAGGGGATGGGCGGGAGGAAAAAAGTCGGATAAGGAAACAGGAGGAAAGGAAGCGACGCTCTGGGACGGTGCAGGGATGAAGAAGAGGCGAGGGGAGGAGCCCATGGGACAAGGAGGAGGAGAGAACGAGTAGGAGGGAGGGAGGAGCGGGGAATGGGTGCAGGGAGGAGGACGGGGAGGGAGGTCCTGGGA